CCGCCTCTAGACTGCCGATGGGTGAAGCTCAACAGCCGGGATGCTCATGTTGGCCGCAGCCAACGAGGCTGATAGGATCTTAAAGGTCGAGCCAAACGCCGGTGTTCTAGACAGTAAATAATTGGCGGATTCTTCGGACTCCAAAAGATCCGCTTGGATGAGTTAACTTGAATAGTCTTGTACCGTCAACACAGTAACGAACTTACCATTAACCACATATGGAAGGTAGTTTGCAGAGGCTTGAACGTCATGGCGCCGTGTCAAGATACATGTGCAGGTTGCCAATCACTAAAGAGGTCAAACACCACACGGTTGTTCGAGGGCGGCTAGAGGTGTTATACCAGTCAATGATATTGAGAACCGTAGCTACCCTGTTCAAATCTTATACTCAAAACCCACCCGCCTGGGAGCCCAGGATGTTGCCCACGGATTTCTGGAGGAACAGATTATACCGACCCCCAGTAGCTGGTTGAATTCAGCCTTGGAGACGCTGAATTTGACCAGGAAAAGAGTCGACGCGCACGAACTTTTGGACCTTTAAGATAGCGCACCCTTACTGAATTTTAACAAAGGACATGGGTCGATTGAGTCCATGAGTCAGTTGGATTGTTACAATTATGGTCGATCATGGCAGGCCAAAATAGTTGTGGGATTTTGAGTCAGTAGTTGGCGTGGAGATGTTCATGGTAATGAAGGTCTACAAAAAGCGTTTAAAGGAGGTCTGATTTCGACAAACAAGATTCCTCGCCTATACTTGGGGACGGCTGTTTCCCCAGCAACACGTAGTGTTGCCAGTAATCGTGCAATTTTGGATTGACTGGCACCTAACCAACTCCTGCCCCAGAGACGCCCATAAACTGTGACACTTTGAGTAGAGTAATGTAAAATAGAGAAACTGAGTTGGGCTAACTAACTCACCTGAGAGCAATTGACAGTCAGTTTAATCTTTTTCCGAAGACAAAATCGTTAGATTTTTTGGGCGACATACCTGTGTATTTTGAGAGCACTTTCATGATATCGGCAGACACCTTGAGGCTCGCAGAATGAAGGTCGATGCAACCTTTTGTATGAACGGCGTAACCAAGAGACCTTTGGGCAAGATGTGCCGTAAAGAGTATATTTTTCTCTTAAGCGTGCCTATCTGAGTTATGCATCAACCGCGAAATCTGCCGTATTCTTCAGGTCCAAGGTGCTGCTTGGAGATAAAATTGATGGACTAAGGGGCATTGCGTTTATATGGACGTGTTCAACTGGTAGGGTAACTTGCGGTCTTGCTAAAAAGTTGTGAAATTTTTGGCTGCTGAGCTACTTGTACAGTTTGTTACTTTCCACAACACTCATTTGTTCGAGAATGATGGCCTTCAAATAATTTTTAGCATACCTGGCTGGATGTGCTCTAGAAGGTAAATGACATCCTCTGTGATTGGCTGTGGTAATCCTGAATTCGGCATGTAGTACCTAGTGATTTTGCAGTTGATTCTTTCGAAAGCTCTTCGAGGCTATGGTTTCAAGAACCATGTTCTAGGGTCTCTGATACAGTCATTCGGGTAATGAGAAGAAACGGTGTCAATGATGTGTTCGCGAGGCAGTCTAGAAAGTTCTTTTTGCCTTTTATTAACTTAAAAGCTCAAAAAAAGCTGCTATACCGTCTGGCATAGTGAAAAACATAAAATAATAGCTACAGATAAAGACAGAATGGAGATATAAAATGGGACTATCTAGCCATTTTAGCAAGGTACTTGCCGCACTTTATTGTGGTTGTCTGCCTCAATTTCTTGTTTACTTGCTTGCAGTGAAACTCTCATGCTATGAAAGAGGGCAATAGTTTTTAAAACATATACCCTCTACTTTTAGCGTTAACAGTAATTTTACACGGTGAAGGGCATTGCTGCCACCTGAAGGAGTCAGTTGTCAGTGGGTAAGTGTGTAGCAGCTAAAACCACCGCAAACTTCTTTACATCCGAATGCCTATGGTATAGTCACTTATGACAAATTGTGTTTTGACTGACAAACCATTCATAGCTTCATAAGCTTTCTGAGAAGACTAACATTGTGTCGGACCACGGGGTAGTTATTTGGTCGTAACGAGCGTGAGTATGCTTTTCAGACGACCTCTGTAACCGCTGTGAAGCTCGAAGTGGCTGTTTGAAGCTTGGGTGGGGTCATTCAGTTTGGAGCAAGAATAAGTATCCTAAAGAACCATTTCGTCATTCCGATACCGACAAACCCAATGAAGGTATTTGGAGTGCTGTAATCAGGTCACGGATAGTAACAAGGAGAGTGCATTTAGACTGTACGCGTCGCGTACGTAGAGCGGACTTCATCCTAGCCGAGCAGCGTCCTGCTCCAAAAACCTGACATTGGTCACTCATGTCCGTCCTTGAGACGCCTCTGTCAGGCTAGCTACTCAGCTGATCAAAAAACGCTATCACTTGACCAAAGAACGGGTAGTGGTAGGTCATTTTCGCGCAAGTGAAACGTATTCACTCGTATTTTGTGATCAACAAGCAGTGGAACATCCTACTTGCAAAATTATTACTGGTCAATGAGTTATCCATTGAGAAAATCAGCCAATTTTTATCCGCCATCAAGCGAGTACGTTAGTCAAAGTAGTAATCTGACGTGAATGGCTGCTAACTTGATTGTGAGCATCCAATCCTTTCCTCCGTGATTTGATTTGGTTTATTTACACGTCATCTAGTCTACTGACCGACCGTGAGCTTGATATTTCAGCCTCGGATGTAAGTTTATTACCTGTGAGCAGATCGGGTGAAATTTAATTCGTTTTGAGGTGTGCTTGCTTGTTACCGGGCAAAGCTAAAAACGGTGTCGTACATTGCCCTTCTTGGATTTAGACACCGAAAAATAAAAAAATTACCACTCATTGGCCTATTTTTCCGGAACAGCCAAAATCCTGTTCCTATTTGTGTTTGCTCCACTTTCGGATTGCCAACGCAGAGCACTATTATTGTCACTAATATTAGTACTAAGAATATCCAAGTTATCCACATTTGCTGCTTATGAGTAGCCTTTCAAATGATCAGAATACATCGTTTAGGACCAGCAAAACCTATATTAAAAACGACTTTCAGCAATAAAACATGAGGATTACATTGTGAGAAGTTTGGGACCCAGCACACTTTGTGGTTCATATTTTTGTGACTTGTCAGGATTCTGAATTTCCAGGCTTGTGCTCGTTCCCAAATTTTTACAATCCGACAAGCGGTAGGCCGTGGAGTTGGTGTTTTTACAAATGACGACCGCTAATTGGATGTGGATATCTATGAAAAATTGTTCATTTACTGGTTCTGTCCTGACCGCGACTCTTTATGTGATTCTAGCTGAATACAACTACAGTACATTTGGGTACATTGCGCTAATGACAGCCAGTTCCCAAAATCACCTACTTGTTTTTGCTGTTAGTTGGCCGTGCTGTAAGGAGTTAGTTCACTTACGGGATGTACTTTTTATATCGTCAAGGGAATTAAAGCTGATTGTCGGCTTCGTCTGCTACTAGCAATCTCTAGCTTCGAGCAATAAACTAAGCACACAACCTGTTTCGAACGGATTCTCGTAAAATTTAAGTGCTTTTCTCTCAGGTTAATGAACCAGGACAAAATTAGGTGCGTAAAATCAAGCTTTGAAAAGGTAGTATCTTCGAAAATTCTGTGGGCGTTTCCAAACCCGTATCCTAATCAACCAGACGCCATTTCTTACACTGTCTTCAGCCCAACACGGAGCGATGGGTTACCTGGGCCCCGTAATGGACGACCAACTGCAACTCAAACTCTCCGTCAACTTTTTCACCCTTCTGCTAAGTCATAAATTTTTCAACTTGCAATTTGTACAATTCTGAAGGAGTTGCGGGAACAACACTCGCCTCGATCTACGGTGTTTCGGTATGCGTATCACGTGTTCGATCAATTGCAGCTGACGTTGCGTCATGTTTTCCGCGGCTGAAGTACCAGTGGCAAAACCGAATGCTCGTCTTATAAATATGCTACTGCATCCGACATCAGCAACGCTTCCGAAATATCCGTGATGGAAAAACTGGAGACGCTCTAGGTCATCTGTCCACAGAGGCCATGTCTCGCACCGATCCAGTGATATAACCAACACCACCAGGCTTGACGGTAAGCTTAAAAATACAAATTTAACAGAAATTTTATGTTCCGAACCGATTGCTTCGCACACAACCTTGCATGTCGTGTGTCGTGTTCTGCCATCCCCACACAGTCAATAGTTTTGAGTTTTTTAAAGTACACCATTTGAGGCAAAAGTATGTCTTGAGGATTGTCGACCCTATGAGAAACGACTAACATGCGCCAAAGTTAAATGGACAAGAACAAGCTGGGTGCTCATTTGACAGGTGTAAGAACAGATTAGTAGTAATGATAAAAGTCGACGCTACCACTAAACACCGGACATTCTCTCATTCTCTGTTTTTTTTCACTTCACTGAGATTTACTATATAATTGGGCGAACCGAACCACAGAGCAGTGCACTGCAAATTTGAAAACGATGAACAGAAGGTTGTTCTTCAAACTCCAAAACATTGTCAACTCCACTGAAATCCATAATGCAGGTTTGTAACCAAAATGTGACTTTTAAAGTAAGTTGTGCTTGCTTGAATTCTACTCCTACTGAAAATCCGTTTGGGCTTTCCGAGTACTTCGAACAGGACACTAGCCCGATCACTGAAAGCGTCTTTTCATGACTACCAACTTCCGTTAAGGATGACAAAAAATATGCAAAATTCCGATAAATTCGCATCTGTTTATTGAGGCGCTTGTCTTAATGGTTCCACGGGTTGCTGGGTATGAGCGGGAAACCAAGTTTCCTTATCAAGAATCACGAACCAGTGTCAGTTATTGGTTCGTGAACCCTGTTTCCACCAAATTCGAAACCATCTGCCACAACCGGCCTATGATACATCCACCAAGTCTTATTCCCTTGTTTCAACGATGCTTGTTTAAAGAAGACTTTGAAAAAAATGCGATCAACGGGAAAAATTTATGGAGATAGTTTCACAACAGAGGCAAACTGTTTGAAATAGTGATGAAAATCTGAAGCACTTGGTTTGATGAAAATAGACCACCAAACTTATTACACATAGGTTATCTTTGTGCCTTAATGCGATTCGCAATTTCAGGCATGCGGGAAATTTTGCGGTATCCATTACCTTTGTTGTAGCGGAGTGAATAAGTGTAACTGAACGTTGACTGGTACGAAGGAGCACTCGTGTACATCAGGCGGGGTCGCATAATCAATGGGTCTCGGTCTTTCACCTGTGCGGTCGTATAAAACACGACAGGCTACTTTTCTATTTCGTCGGTTGCCAATCAAGTGTCGTTTCCGATTTCGATGTGGCGGGTGGCAATACCATTGATTTTGCAACTGCTGCTGCCTGAATATTGGGAATCCTGCGAGAGCACGACGTAGACGGCGTATGAGTTGTTGCAACCCCCGACGAAACTGGCGTCCAGTCATATATACCAGAAAGTTAACGCAGTTGTTCAAAAAAAGTAAAAAGCGGCAAAGTTCTTCGAACAGGTGGGCGACACGGTAGTTGGAAACGTTGGCGGCGTCGACCAGGTGGAACTGAAAACACATATTGAAACAAATTATGAACCGCCTTGATTGAGATTAACTTGGAACGCCGACCTTACGACGTGAGGCGTCTTCATAGAAACATTCATTTCACGGAGGTGTGAATTGTACTTGCGTTACACAATGCTCTTTTCATTACAGCTTGATTCCCTCTCTAATTATCACTTCTACTCCGAGTGACAGATGCTGAAATATATCATGCATTAAAAAATTTGTTGAACTGACAAAGATCGGAGATTATAAACATAACCAAATGCAAGTATGAAAATATGGGGACATCAGAGGCTACGAAGGTGACGTAAGCATGAGCTGAAACTACAAAACTGACTAGCCAGAGGCTAGAAGCGCAGGCATTCTTCCGCAGCTTTGCAGTGAACTAGTTAAACGTTTGACAATCTCCCTAGAACTTCATTAGGAAATGTGGTGGTTAGGTGCAAAAGAGACCGATTTAACAGTACACGAGTTAATTCGGACGACCGCAAGAATAACATATTTGCCTAATTCACAGTTTTGAATTCTTGTTAATTTTAGTTTAGTGGCACTTGTAGATAACTTGGCGCCGCTCATAAGCACATGAAAGACCGGAAACTCGAAGAGGGCGTACAACAGCCACCACACTTTGACTGAGTTAACGAGGCAACTCACAAATGCTCTTAGTTCAACTTGTGAGAAATTTATCAAGGTGCATAAACCCGAAATCCTTTAGCTGGAATACTACTACTAGCTGTGCCATCCATTTCTGAAGTCAGTATCATTCCACATAATATCTTTCATCATCTTTCATCTTGCGATGTTCTTGGATATCGGGTGAGCCAAATGGATTTGTTGATACTCACATTCAATCAAATGCTGTATACCGCCGAAAATTTTGTGAGAGCAAAACAACTTCCAGAAATATCAAAAGGTTGATCAAGCAAGCAAGCTGACGAATGATGGGTGTTTAATGGATGGGTATATTGGTTAAATGACGAGATAACCACCAGAAAGTTGGAAACGTACACTGGTGTGGTTGCCAAAATGAGGAGAACTTATCATTAGACTCAAGATTCCTTCCAACAGGGTCACTTTGGAACCGGACGGGATGATTAAATACCCACCACTACATTATAAAAAGACGGTAATCAGAAAAACAGAACTGAAGACAACTGGTTTCGCTTTTACAGTCCAGGCAGGGAATATCAGTGTATCCGAAACATGTCGATATCCTGACACAACAATAGTCGGTAGCACATGTTCATTATTAACCGCTGACGCGAATATGGGGAACGTGAATCTCATTGCCTAAACACTTCCGATCTTGACGAATGTTAAGCATCAGTGACTTGGTCTGTAAACGTTCTCTTACAGTGTACCGATCGATTCATTATTTTGTTTCCGTTTTTGATGCCCGTGTGCTATAAAGTTTAAGGATAGCTCTGACACGGAGAAGTTGATTGGTCATTGTGTTCGGAAGTCTTGGTGAATTACCACTCACTTTATCTTTATCTTTATTGTTATTGTTTAGGAGCAAACTGTTCATTTTTAGTTTGAAAAACTATTTCAATTTTGCTTCCTTTTAGTAATTTTTGAGTTAATGCGGTATTGTAAAATCACTTTTTGTTAGGTCATTATCCAAAGTGTTCTACTCGTAACTTTCTTAAAGGAAGATTTTGACGGACCATTGTTATCAGGTGAACAGGGATCTGTAAATTTATTACACATTCGGATATGATAGTTTGGTAGCCTCTAGGGTGTGTTGCATTGAGTTGAACTTGCATGTTGAACGATTGATTTCAAATCATCATGGCCGAAGATGTGTAGTTCTGGTTTGTCCCAACACCATCGAAAGCTCGAGTCAACTATTTCACCTTTTGGCGAGGACTAAAAGTGTTATTTTTCAGAACAGATAGTGGACGTTTTTTGAACGAGAAGGGTTTCTACATATACACACATTTTCCATATACCGAAGAGCGATCTTCCAGAAAAACACTGTTTTGGTTTACGTACAGCATATCTTAATTTCAGAAGAATTTCCGGAATAATAGGGTGAATTCGAGCAACAAATCTGACAGTGTATGGTCCAATATATTGTATATTTATTTCCCATATGACAGAGAAGATCCTGTGTATTGTCGGAGTATGATTTTGTTTACCGGTCTAACGATACTGCGATTGCCTTGGGGAAGATGACCAGGTGGCATTTCCGAATGCAGTACCAGTTACAACAAGATGGGCAATTCTTGCAAAATTCTTAGCCTACGAACAAAAACTTCGAGTAGTTCATAAATTCGATGCACCTATAAGGAAAATGCAGCACTTCAAGAATTTTCTCAGAGTTCTCGGTCAGGGGCGTACATTCACCTGATTCAGAGTACATTGTCGTTCTGTGTTTTCCCATTCCTGGTTGCTAAATCAGCGGAAGCCACGGCAGAAAGAAAAGCAGGGCATGCATAAACTTTGTGGAGAGCGTACCTCTGGTTCATTTTTGTGCTATAGGAAACCGGGGAGAAATCTAACCAAACTACGTCCGAGACAGTTCCCCCGATGATATCTGTTGCATGGTGTATTACGAAGCGCCAAACAGTTGCAAAATAAATGATAATTCGGTATTGCTTTGTTAAGCAGACCGCTGTGAAAAATAGATTAGCTGATACTGGATTAACTGGAAAACGATTTTACTTCACATCTGGTTTCGTAACAGAGAGCCGAAACAGTAACCCATCATTTGTACTTATCCATTGTAAGGCATTACATAGTTTAACTGTAAGACTGTGGATCACACTGAAACAATTTCCTGACCATCGACGAGCTTTCCAGATATCTGAGATAACGAAAGGCGATTGAACGATTTTCAGGTTTACACAAAAGGATATAGTTTGGGAGAATGCAGCAAAAAATCAGCTAAACGGACAAAAACTTTGGGATAGGGATAGCCTGGATGAGGCTCCTCCTAGCCGAGTCGTTGACTACACGAAATAGTTTCATCTGAAGATGTGGGTTTTTTATCAGCCAAATGATGTCATCCCATAACAACCATTCCTTATCTAGCATAGAAACATTTTAACACAACTGACTCTGGATTTGGCGTTCACCACTGTCAAACAGGATCAAGTAAGCAAACGGTGAAGATGAAAGCAAACCTTTGACTGTAAAAATAGACAGCAGGGATGTCGAGAAATACGACAGGAAAATTTTGCAACATTTTTTGTTGTAGTGACGGGCACTCAGAAAGCAGGATCACTTTTGTAAAGGGAATGAACCTGTCTATCTCCGATAAATAAGGCTCACTGAATATCACAAGCGTAATGCATTATTTAAATCAAGCCTTGAAAATGAAAATGCCCACCTTTAAGTAAACTATCGCTTTTTTCGTGAGTTGTTTCCTTCGAAAGTTGCATTTTACATTTCACAAAATAAATGCATATTGCTATGTAAATTGATTAATCTTCTATGAACTAATTCTGCATAGTTATGAGACGTTTTTAAAACTGTCTCACCTAATTGGACAGTAGGCTTTCACTGCATGAAACCATACTAAATGTTTAGTTTCTAGGTAGTAAGCAGCAAATGAATGTTCTGTTTTTTCTCTATTTTATCATCCATTATGCCTAAGTGCTCACTAATTATCGAAGATATCACAAAGTTATTAGAAAAACCTTGTTCACTAAACTGAATAATCTATTTCAGATTCACAGGAGGTTTCGTCCACCAGATAATGGAGGTTATAGTGCTATGAGTTTCTTTCAAAAGGGTTGTCATCTGCCATGTACCAGTACACTATGTATACACTTTATACAACTTTATTATATGGTGTTCTACTGCGTCCTATAAATATCTGTATAGTTAAGTCTCTAACGGACTGATTGGCTGAACCTTCGATCCAAAAAATCTGATTTTATATAATCTAGCGGAAGTTAAAGATGCCGAAACTGGTATAGATCTGCATCAACACTGTTTCCCGTTATCATTTTCTTTTTACTGCTTGTCAGCCACCGATACCAGCACTCTGTCTTCACTACACTTGTGGCACTAAATAAATCACACACGCTGGTCATGTGCACAGATTTTGTTGGTCCGCTGTCTGACCATTATTCTTATTGAATCTGTCAGACTGTGCCAGGCATTCTAAAATGTTGTGAGACGGTTTTGCTGCGATCAACCGGATGCCGGTTTCATCATCACGCCAATAAACTCAGTACAGTTTTAACAACCTTGCTACTATTGTAATAAATCTTCGGAAAGAAAAGTACACATTCTTCCTCGCTCTCAATACATAACTTGTGCAGAATAGGATTGTTCATCATGAGTTTTTTGACTGCATATGATTATGAAAGGGCGTGGATAGTTTCACTACTCATTTTTCCTAAAAATACTTGGCATTACGGTTGATATAAAAAAAACACAACAAGGAAACGGCACAGCTCTGTCAACAACAGTATGTAGGCAAATTTACATAATTTTAGGTAGGTATCGCGAGGTTACACAGGTTGTTTTCACCAAACAAACTATTAACCTGTGCAAATGGCCCTTCTACCGAAACATATAATTTGCGAACTTGGATTCGGAGCTTTCTACAGGTGTCTCCGAATTGGTTACCTGTACTGTATCGGTAAATCGTACACCTGTTATTTCATCAAGAACGGGGTTCCTTTTTAGCGCGTCTGTTGCACATGAGTGTTTTCTAACAGGTTACAAAAAAGAATAACAATGGCAATATCAGAAAAAGTCAGCCATAAATTTTTCATTGGCTCGAACAGTCAATTCCAGTTAAATGCCATATTCTTTCCACACGAACTGTTCGCTGTTTCGTAACCCAGCGAGCAAGATAGTGAACCGATATGGAAGCGATCACAGAAGATCTATAAATTGGCATGTGCGGTCGGATTTCAACATTCACCACATCTGACACAACAGACATCTGTTACGTCTGTGTGCCCGATTGGTCATGGAAGGAAGCTCATGAAGGAAAAGGTGTCCAAAAACGGTGTATGAAGCCAAATCGTGCGAAGTCG